CCCTAAAAACAGCAATATTTTTAGTTGTGTTGATTCTACAGTGTTTGCCTTCCTCTACTAATGGACCACAGCACTAAAAAATGTGTCCTCTGCCACTGAATATAAAGCGGCAGAAAAAAGCCATTACGTTTTAGTAGTGAACTTACTGTCTGCATTAAATGTAATGAGAGAAAAAAAAACTATTAAAATAATCTTTAATGGCAACCGTAACCATAAACGGTCCATTTTTAACCGAATCATCTTGTGTGAAGCCAGAACTGTGCTGCGACAACACAACCGCAGAATCATTAGCAAGGGAAAAGAAGTCTTTCAGATGTTTGATGTGGGGTGCAGTCGCCTTGTATTCCACTGCTCTGTCCGCCTGACCAGCATGCTTTGCAGCGGTGGTCCCACTGTGTGTGTAGTGAGGCCTGCAGCGGGGGTCCGGCAACGCTACACGGCCGCAGGTCAGTGGATTAAAGTAATGCCTCCCAGCTTCACACAACTACAAAGAGCTCATTAATTTAGCTGCTTTGATCGTAATCATTAAAAATGAATTGCAGACGCACGTCTCATCTCATCTACGCCTGCAACTTCACTGAGAACGACGCTTTATCCTTACACTTCTTTCCTAAAGACGTCCACTGAAACACTGTTGACATTTCACACTCTGAGGTTCGTGAAAATGAAATCATTTCAACAGAATTTGGCCAAATTGCGATGAATAAATCACAAGCAGGGCTGTACGCTACACTGAAAAATTAAAGGTAGGTGGATTCAAACTATTTATATGGGCTGAATTTAAACAAACAAATTAATTTAAACTTTAAAGGTGCAGTATGTAAGTTTAACACTCATTGTGAACTAGGTGTTGCATTCCTGAATCAAAACAAATGCAGGCACAGGTTGCCAGATTGAGAACCAACAGAAGAGTGCTTGACTATTGAGCCTAAAAGCCAATTTAAAGGAATATTTTCCATATTAAAAGGAGTTTTTGTCCTAACCAACACCTGAAATTTATATTATTTATGAATTTATATATATATTATTAGTGAAAAGAAAACTGACAATGATTAAAAATCAGCAGCAGATCCTAAAAAAATAAAATAAACCATTTAAAATTGAACTTCAGAACTGTGACTAAGTGTAAACCAACACATATCAGTGATTCAGCAACTACATTTAATAATGTTAAAGAGGTTTCATATGTATTATATGGATACTTTCGTTACAATGGTCAAATAAAATCAATCAATCAATCGCCTCATGTGGAACTCTGAATCTGCTTCTCGTTTCTGAGTCTGTCCACTGGAGGTTGCATTTTTTTGAGACGGACGCATGCTTTGAGAGTCTTTATGACTAAATTAATCAAATATGTGGTTTAACAGCAAGGCAACCCAGGGTGCTGAAATATAATTGGCTAAACTGACAGTGGGCGGCTCAAATCAAAACAAAGATGTTCCAGCACGTAACGCACATTTTTAAATCAGATTATCTGACTTTAGCATTGTTTTTTAGTTAAACAAGAATGACACACACACACACACGCACACACACACGCACACACACACACACGCGCGCACACACGCACACACACACACACACACACAAACACAAGTTCTGTCTGGTTCTTGAATCTGATTGGCTGATAGCTGTGATATATTTAAGTAATATCAGCATCTGTACAGCCTCTTTACCCTTTGTGTATTACTCCGCCTACATACAGCTATACTTTAAAAGATGCTTGCTCAGCTGATTAACTGTCAGCTTATGATTTGAATCCAACACGGAAGAAAGTAGTTCCTCATACAAAAGGATTTTTGAGACTCTCCATGTTTGATTTTGTTTTTATATACACAATTATGCCATCAAACTGTTGTATAAACGCAATATCACATTTGTAGCAGTGTGATATGGCTGTATATCCGATATTGTAATATTGCTCATATATATATATATATATATATATATATATATATATATATATATATATATATATATATATAAAACTAAAATGCACATTTGAATTCAAAAACCTGTGTTTGAATTTTTGATGTGTCAAGAGGCATGCGAGATATGATGATGACGCAACCATTATCGTTTGTTTTTGTAATGCGTTACAATGATTCGTTATAAAAAACCTGGAATTCAGAGTTTTCCTACTTCATATTTGGAAATAACGTCTACAAGGGTGCCAGAAGTCGGATATCTGACCTGTGAACTTAGGGAAGATTGAAAAAAACCCAGACCTCAACGAGACACATCATTTGTCAGTTCTTAGCGTGGAGCTACAGCTAAAGTCAAAATTATTAGCTCTTCTGTGATTTTTTTCTTTTTTCTTTTTTTAAATATTTCCCAAATGATGTTTAACAAGACATTTTTCCAGGTTTTCCAGGACTTTAATTTCTAAAAGCCAAATTCAGGCACTTTAAGCACCTTGTGCGAGCCCTGTCGAATGCACAAAACATGATATTATTATATTCTCTCTCTATATATATATTCTCTCTCTATATAGATATATTTATAAAATAGTTATATTCTATAAACTTGTCACTGAGAAATGGATTAAAATAATTTCTGTATACTCTTTTATACTGAACACTGTACAAGTGTCCAAGAAAGAAAACAAACAAACAAAAACTATTATGAATAAAATATGAGCTAAAATAAACTGAGGCTGTCAAGAGAGTAATTAGCAGCCAATTATCAGCTTCACAGATTTTCTTTTGAAATGAAAGGCCATTTAAAGTGTTTATCTAATGTGTGAAGGTGACACTAATAAGACATGTACTTGTAAACAGGTAAATTCACGCAATAGTGATCTTGCGCTCGTTTCACACTTCTTCCCAACTGCAGAAACACCTTTGCTTGTTTTCATCTAATCAAATGTCTCATCTTATTAAACCATTATTACTCCAAATTACATACGAGACTCTGCTTTATTCAGAGCCTGTTCAAAACGAGTCTACTTTTACCGAGGATTAACGGTTGCTGCTTTAAAAGCTGTGATTCAGTAATTACAAGTTTTCTATTTGTAATTTGTACACACAAATGCTGCAAAATTCTCCCTGAGTTGGTGTGTCCTTTCAGTGCTCCGGTTTCCTCCACTGTCCATGCACTGTAGGTAAATTGGATGAACTACATTGACAGTAGTGTGAGTTTGCGAGTGTGTATGGGTGTTTTCCACAACTGGAATGTGGATGGAAGAGCATCCACTGCGTAAAAAATATCCTGGAATAGTTGGTGGTTCATTCTGCGGTGGCAACCCCTGATAAATAAGGGATCAAGCCGAAGGAAAATGAATGAATAAATTAATGAATGATGTGTGGTTCACACAAGATCTTGTGACTTTATTCCTTAATAACTGTGATTGGCTAGCTTCTATTACGGTTTTTCTATTTGACATGTACTGTAGCAGTTGACGTGAATAGTTATGATCATTGTTGTGGGCAACACATTAAAAGTAATACAAGGTATGTAAAGTACTTTAAGGTACTACGTAAATACAAGGAACTTTTCTAAGAAACAAGTAATGCATTACTTAAGTACTAATATTTGAGTTACTTCTTAAAAAATGTCCAGTAAGTTATTTTGTAGTTTAATTGATTAGCTTTTAAAAAATAAATAGCTCTATTAAAATCAGAGGTGGGTGGAGTATCCAAAATCCTTACTCATGTAAAAAGGAGATGGTCTCAATGAGCGGTGATTTTACTTCACTAATAAAACAAAAAGTACAAAAGTAGCAAACGCATTGCTTTAACCTGTAGGTGAAGGTGTAGTTCATAAAGTGCATACATATAAAAACTCTAAATATTTTATAGAGTTTATAGCTTATAAAGTTTGTAAAAAATAATGTTCTATTTAAAAAAAGTATTAAAAAAAACTTGCTGGTTCTGATAGGCTTGATCTCTCAGCAAAGGTAAAGAAATGTAACGCAAAAATAATGTAACGCATTACCATAAAATTTAACACAACTAGTTTCTTTTTTGGGGAGTAACTCAATATCGTAATGCATTACTTTCAAAAGTAACCTTCCCCAAAAGTAACTAGTTACTTTGAGTAGTGACTAAACATTGTAATGCAATACTTTCACAAGTAACTACTACAAAATGAACTAGTTGCTTTTTTGAGAAGTAACTCCGTATTGTAATGCATTACTTTCAAAAGTAACCTTCCCCAAAAGCAACTAGTTACTTTCGGTAGTAACTAAATATTGTAATGCATTACTTTCAAAAGAAATTTCCCCAAAATCAACTAGTTACTTTTTTGAGATGTAACTTAACATTGTAATGCATTACTTTTTCAAAAGTAACTTTCCACTAAAGCAACTAGTTACTTTTTGTGGAGTAACTCAATATTTTAATGCATTTCTTTCAAAAGTAACTTTCCCCAAAATCAATTAGTTACCTTTTTGGGTAGTAACTCGATATTGAAATGAATTACTTTCAAAAGTAACTTTTCCCAAAAGTAACCAGTTACTTTTTTTGGGGAGTACCTCTATATTTTAATGGGTTACTTTCAAAAGTAATTTTTCCCAAAAGCAACTAGTTACTTTTTGGGGAGTAACTCCATATTTTAATGGATTACTTCAAAAGCAACTTTCCCCAAAAGTAACTATTTTTTATTTTTTGGGAGAGTAACTCGATATTGTAATGGATTACTTTCAAAAGTAACCTTCCCCAAAATCAACTAGTTACTTTTTTGAGATGTAACTAAACATTGTAATGCATTACCTTCAAAAGTAACTTTCCACTAAAGCAATTAGTTCCTTTTTTGGGGAGTAACTGAGTATTGTAAAGCATTACTTTTAAAAGTAACTTTCCACAACACTGGTTATGACACACCTTCAGACTTTTCAAGAACACAGTATGATCATTTGTTACAAGTATTTAAATAACCACAGAAGCACCTGGGTTAAAGCAAAACCATTTTTAACATCTAGTGCACAACTGCTAATGTTTGCCTGTGTGTGTGTGTGTGTGTGTGTGTGTGTGTGTGTGTGTGTGTGTGTTTTGACTAACCTTCTAAACTTGTCTCTCATTTTCTCCAGGTCGTCTCTAGTTCGACCAAGCTCCGCCTGCATGTAATGTCGACTGGTTTCGAACTCCGTCTCCATGGCCTCCATCTTATGTGTGGTCTGGGACAGTCGGCGCCGGAGGTCTTCATTTTGCTGCTGCAGGATTCTGCAAAAATAAGAGAGCAAAGAACAGATTGAATGAGAAACAGATAAATAGAGTTAGATAGAGTTCACAGCATTGTAGCACTTAAGGTCACCATCCTCATCAAATTCCCTTTCAAATAAAGTCAGTTCATTTGGCAGCTCGCCCAAGACCAAAGCTAAGACATAGAAATGAATCTCGAAATCTTGAAAAACTGCTGGCTGGGCTCGCAATTAAATGACAATTCAAAAAAGTAAAAGAAACGGTGATTTATGATTTCCGGAGAGTCAAACAGTTATCAGGTACTGAAATGTTAAATAACACTGTATAGTCTTCCTTGTAATTGAGTAAAATGTTTCTTCTTTAAAATTACAAATCTACTTTAATTTAAAATTACTTTTTTGCGAGTAACTTGATATTATAATGGATTACTTTCAAAAGTAACTTTCCCCAGAAGCAACTAGTTACTTTTTGCAAAGTAACTCAATATCGTAATGCATTACTTTCAAATGTAACTTTGCCCAAAAGCAACTAGTTAGTTTTTGAGGAGTAGCTCGATATTTTAATGGATTACTTTCAAAAGTAACTTTGCCCAAAAGCAACTAGTTACTTTTTAGGAAGTAACTCGATATTGTAATACATTACTTTTAAAAGAACTTTCCCCAAAAGCAACTACAGTAGTTACATTTTTGGGGAGTAACTCGATATAGTAAAGCATTACTTTTCAAAAGTAACTTTCCACAAAAGCAACTAGTTACATTTTTGGGGAGTAACTCAATATCGTAATGCATTACTTTTCAAAAGTAACTTTCCACAAAAGCAACTAGTTACTTTTTTGGGGAGTAACATGATATTGTAATGCATTACTTTCAAAAGTAACTTTCCGCAATAGCAACTAGTTACTTTTTGGGGAGTAACTCAATATTGTAATGCATTACTTTCAAAAGTAACTTTCCCTAAAAGGAACTAGTTAGTTTTTGGGGAGTAACTCCGTCTTTTAATGGATTACTTTCAAAAGTAACTTTGCCCAAAAGCAACTAGTTATTTTTTAGGAAGTAACTCGATATTGTAATATATTACTTTCAAAAGTAACTTTCCCCAAACGCAACTACAGTAGTTACATTTTTGGAGAGTAACTCGATTTTGTAATGCATTACTTTTAAAAGTTACTTTCCCCAAAAGCAATTAGTTACTTTTTTGAGGAGTAACTCGATATCATAATGCATTACTTTTTAAAAATAACTTTCCACAAAAGCAACTAGTTACTTTTTTGGGGAGTAACATGATATTGTAATGCATTACTTTCAAAAGTAACTTTCCGCAATAGCAACTAGTTACTTTTTTGGGAGTAACTCAATATTGTAATGCATTACTTTCAAAAGTAACTTTCCCTAAAAGCAACTAGTTAGTTTTTGGGGAGTAACTTCGTCTTTTAATAGATTACTTTCAAAAGTAACTTTCCCCAAAAGCAACTAGTTATTTTTTAGGAAGTAACTCGATATTGTAATACATTACTTTCAAAAGTAACTTTCCCCAAACGCAACTACAGTAGTTACATTTTTGGAGAGTAACTCGATATTGTAATGCATTACTTTCAAAAGTAACTTTCCCCAAAAGCAATTAGTTACTTTTTTGAGGAGTAACTCGATATCATAATGCATTACTTTTTAAAAATAACTTTCTGCAAAAGCAACTAGTTACTTTTTTGGGTACTAACACGATATTGTAATGCATTACTTTCAAAAGTAACTTTCCCCAAAAGCAACTAGTTACTTTTTGGGGACTTATTCAATATCATATTACATTCCTTTTAAAAAGTAACTTTTCCTAAAAGAAACTAGTTACTTTTTGGGGAGTAACTCAATATCGTAATACATTACTTTCAAAAGTAACTTTCCCCAAAAGCAACTAGTTACTTTTTTGAGGAGTAATTCGATATTGTAATCCATAATTTTAAAAGTAACTTTGTTAATTATAGTTACTATATAGTCTTTATTGTATTACTAGAGTAAAGTTACAAATGTTGTAAATTTTGTGCCCAAATGCTTTAAACTCTCCTAAAATGCTTTAATTAAAAGATAAAGATTCACTCTGTTGTGGTTGTACTTTGCAATAACTCCACAAATCTCAAGTATCCTCAAGTGTTGTGCTGATCAACTTTAATCCTACAACATTGCATATGCTACGTTGTGACTTTTGCAGATACACACATTCCAATATTGATGCTGAAACGATATATTGTGCAGCCGTAGTTTATAGTTTGCTCCAGCTATGTGTGCGCAATGATTGGCACGACACTAAAATCCTTTACAGCTGTTTCCATAGTAACCAGAAAACGTGGTTATAAATACTGGAAGAACAGAGACAAAAACTGAGCACACACTGCAGGACGACACTGAAAGGACACGATAGGTAAAGGGATGTGCCGTGATGTTCTTTTTTCTTCATCTTGCCTCGAAAAGCATTTCTGATGTGCATTTGTGCAAGCTCACATTTCCTCTGTATACATATAGTATTCCTCTAATAGACCGTTCTGTCATGTCTGGTGTCATTTTACAGCTCATATTGCAAACAGAAATGTAATGAACTCCACAAAGATGTTTATGAAACGACTGTCGTTTAAATATGGCTGTTGTGTCTGTCACATCATAAACATCTCATATATGTTTAGGTATGGAGAAATATAAAGTGCGCTGATGTTTTGCTCCAGATTTGACATCAAATATGGGGAAAAATGTGTCATTAGCCTCATGCATTTTTCATATGAGTGAATTTAACTCACTTGACAGTGTTTTGTGGACAAACCGATTCATATTTTTTCATAATTTGGTGTATATATATATATATATATATATATATATATATATATATATATATAGGCGAATCTCCCATTCCAACTCATTCCAAAGGTGCTCTATTGGATTGAGGATCTGGTGACTGTGGAGGCCATTTGAGTACAGTGAACTCATTGTCATGTTAAAGAAACCAGTCTGAGATGATTCACGCTTTATGACATGGTGGGTTATCCTGCTTGAAAAAGCTATCAGTAGATGGGTACACTGTGGTCATAAGGGATGGACATGGTCAGCAACAATACTCAGGTAGGCTGTGGCGTTGTCAATTGGTACTAATGAGCCCAAAGTGTGCCAAGAAAATATCCCAACACCATTACAACACACAGTTGGACAGGTGTACCTTATAACGGCTGGTGAGTGTATATATATATATATATATATATATATATATATATATATATATATATACTGTTTAAGGAATAATTTTCAAAGTTGTAATCTAATTTTATATGTAGTTAAAGTCAAAATTATTAGCCCTCTTGAAAAATTTGTATTATTTTAAAAATATTTCCCAAGTGTTTAATTTGCTGTTTCTTACTGTAAATGTCGTCAGTGGTTAGAAATTCCATTCAGTAAACAAAAAATAAGTGTTACATTTGGGATGACCCAAAAGTCATACACTATAACTTTTAAGTGTACAGTGTGTAAGTGTATAGTATGTCTTGTGGGACGCAACTCAATAAAAAAAAAAATACAACAACTCAAAACCAAGATGACGTCCAGTACCCATAATCCCTGACAGAGTCTATTACAGGACTACAGGTGTATCTTAGCTACTTTCACATTCTACAGCCAATGTACAGCAGAAGGTGTCAAACATTCGACCCAGAAAAGACTCAGAAAGCTGCCAATTACTCCAACCACTAGCACATCCACAACACAATGCACTCTTTTCACAACACTGTTACGATGCATTTATTGGAACGGTCATCAGCATCTTAAATCATAATCTTAGCATCTTAAGCTTTTAATATTTAGATTTTTTTTTTTAAACTTACGTTTATCCATGCACCGGTCACTTTATTAGGTACATCTTACTAATAGGTAGGCTGTGGCGCTGACACGATGCTTAATTGGTACAAAAGTGTGCCAAGAAAATATCCCCCACACCATTACACCACTACCACCAGCCTGAACCGTTAATACAAGGCAGAATGGATCCATGCTATCATGTTGTTGACGCCAAATTCTGACCCTACACCCGAATGTGACAGCAGAAATTGAGACTCATCAGACCAGGCAACGTTTCTCCAATCTTCTATTGTCCAGTTTTGGTGAGCCTGTGTGAATTGTAGCCTCAATTTCCTGTTCTTAGCTGACAGGAGCGGCACCCGATATGGTCTTCTGCTGCTGTAGCCCACCCGCCTCAAGGCTGGACATGTTGTGTGTTCAGAGATGCTCTTCTGCAGACCTCGGTTGTAACGAGTGCTTATTTGAGTAACTGTTGTCTTTCTATCAGCTGGAACCAGTCTGGCCATTCTCCTTTGACCTCCGGCATCAACAAGGCATTGTGCCCACAAAACTGCCGCTCACTGGATATTTCCTCTATTTCAGACCATTCTCTGTAAACCCTAGAGATGGTTGTGCGTAAAAATCCCAGTAGATCAGCAGTTTCTGAAATACTCAGACCAGCCCGTCTGTCACCAACAACCATGCCACGTTCAAAGTCACCTAAATCACCTTTCTTCCCCATTCTGATGCTCGATTTGAACTGCAGCAGATCGTCTTGACCTTTTCTACATGCCTAAATGCATTGAGGTGCTGCCATGTGATTGGCTGAGTAGAAATTTGCGTTAACCAGCAGTCGGACAGGTGTACCTAGTAAAGTGGCCGGCGAGTGTGTGTATTTATTATGCATCAAATTTGCATAATGCAACTTGCTTATGCAAGGTGTTTCTAATGCAGCGTCTATGGAGGCAGGACATTAAATTTGATGTTGTTCTCTCTTCTGGCTGCCTCTAGTCTCACACTATTTTTTTCCTTTTTCTGAAAGCCTTAATAACACCAAGTAGTTTTCTTTTACTTATTTTAGCAAATACGGTTGTAAAAAGATGATTTGTTGTACTCTTCCATTTTCTGCGCTCTAAGTTTACCCAAATATGACGACTTTCACTGCTGAAAAACCCTGCAAAGTTAGGAAAAAGTCCATGAAAGTGTTGAAATGAGGCT